ATATATATATATATATATATATACATATATAAATCCACTTCATCTTATTTAACATATTGCTACGTTACGTTATAATATTTCTTTGTTGATCCTTTTTAGCGTTTGTGAAAAAGGTGGATATATGAGATGCTATGGTCCAGGATGCACAACACGTGGTAAGTGGTCATTCGATCAATTCTGATAGTAAATGATTATAATGAGTTATATGTGCACAGCACCTACCGGCAACACTACTAACTATTACTACTGCTACTTACTATTAATAATAATAATAATAATAATAATAATAATAATAATAATAGTAATAATAATAATATTAAGGTGATAATCATCATCATTACTGTCATAATTATCATCACTCATTGAGGCTGACTTAGCCCTATTCCTCGCAATATCATGAAATAAGGCTTTGTTTGAGCTTTTTGCACACTGCAAAGCTTACTAAGCACTAGTACAAATTAGTGTTCAATGGGGAATATGAAAAATACGTGGAGGGTAATGATGACATCGCGATTGACTTATAATAGTGATTAAGTAGTTCAATAAACCTTATTCAATTATTTTGATGTATGTAATCACTTGCGAATTTTTTTTCGCATGTATTTGAGTACATACTGAATATTCAGTACGATAACACGTCAGGCAGGACAAAACATCACTCCTATGATATTTTCCTGACGCAAAGACATATTGAAATAACATTGCAGTACCCATTGCCAGGGGCGGATTTAGGGTGGGGCGGCCCGGCACTTTTGGAAGGCAAAAGAAAGAAAAAAAATAAAGAAAAAGGAAAAGATGATAGCCCAGAACGCCTCAAATGTTATTTCCAGGCGTCTAGAACACAAACATTTCGCGGGGGCATGCCCCCGGACCCCCTAGGGTAGATCGAACCAACTTTCGGCCCCCTTTAGCCCCCCCCCCCCTTTGGACAAGATGTGTATAAGAGACAGTCTCTGGATCCACCCCTGGTTGCTTCTTGGGAATAGGAATCAACACTAGTCACCAACTGCAAGCTCGGTGCCCTAGTGCTTATGACACCAGGCTATAATATCTGGAGGTCATGGGTTTGATTCCCCCAAGTATTTAGGAACGTACTGAGTATTCAGTACGATAAGACGTCAGCTAGGGTAAAACACCACTCCTATGAAAACCTTATTTAAGTTAAATTATAAAAAGAAATGTGTATGTTTTAATTGTGTTTTTAAATAATTAGATTAGTACCCTAGGTCTATTGAATTTTTGTGATTAATTGGAAAAACAACTTCGGCTATGATAAAGACTCAATTCACATCCAAAATATTTTTTGTTTGTTTTAGTGACCACAGAGAAAGAACCAACCACTCTTGAGCCAACTACATACAAGCCGACCACTCATGAGCCAACGACACAGCAACCAACTACAGCATGTTCATGTCCACCAGAATACCACATGTGTGACTGCAATAGCTGTATTCCAAATGAGAATGTCTGCGACAATGTGATACACTGTCCAGATGGTTCTGATGAGAGGGATTGTCCATGTATAGACAACGCCGGTGTGGCAAGAGAGGTAAATAATACATTACCTCTTTTAGTGCCTGTGTACACGCTATACGAAAATGATATTTAAAACTTTTATTTTGTTTTATCTTCAAACAACGCGCTTAGTTTTATGTTGATTTTCTAGAAATAATTTGAATTGGAATTTTTATTGAGAGAGCGGAATGTCAAAAAAGGAAAGGCCTGTGCGTGCACTGAACCATTGATATCCTTTCCGATACTTTGGTCTTAGTCTATTCCTGCTCTCCTTGTATTATAATAATGTATGACATTTATAAATTATGTGTGCAGTAGTGCCATGTGCATATTAAAAATGCAGTACACCCTTTGAATATTACATTGGGATTATCTCTCCGTGTTCAGCCTGACCTACCACTAGGAGGGCTTGCTAAAAGTAAGTCCTGAGACATTTGAAACCAACCAACCAATAAGTTTTATCAAGCATAGTATACTTTATTTTGCAGCATGATGAGTGGTATTGGGAGTCGCAATGCAAACATTGTCGTTGTATAAATGGAGAAACAGTCTGCAACAAAACATGCACAGTATTATGTGATCAGGTAAGGTTGAAAACAAAATTAATTAACTGTATATGTGGCACAGTTGTTAAAATCTTGTCTTTCAATCAAAAATGGTTGTAAGCTGGATGGCTGATACGCAAGTTATTATTTTATTACGACATTCGAAAAAAAGATAATGCCATTGGAATTTTGTGCACTAGTGCCTGTCGAAAAGTTGTACAAACCAGTCATATAATAAATTAGCTTTGTGCAAAATAAAAGAAGATAATGATAATCATATAGAGTACCACAGTCGTGTCGTCACGACGCCAGGTGGCGCTCTCTGGCTCTCTCTCTCTTATTAATAAGTCCATGATTTTACCATCAAAATGTACTAAAAATACAAAAACTCGAATTATATTAGTTATCGAACACACATTTAATCATCAATTATAATTTACAAAGTAAAAGTGAGATACAACATCTTAATAATTAAGTTAGAAATTGGGATCAATGGTTTGTCAGTGGAAAAAATGGCGCCCGGTTGGACCCATTTTGCAACGATAGCAACGGAGTAGTACCACGCGGTATCGTGACGTAGCACTGTAATACTCTATAGTGTACATTACACCAATTAGTAGTGGTGTTGATAGATTATAACGATTTTTACATAGGCCTAAATGGACCGAATAGGACCAAGTTTTCGTTAGCACAACTTTTTAAACTAAGCAAACTAGGATCTCAAATCTGTTTACTTTCTATATTTACTTCAGTCATCAATTCTCAAAACTTATGAAGATAATGAAGATAAATGCTGTGAATGTATACCAGGTAAGTGAAACATTTCTATGAATATATATTAAAATATGAAATTATTTTCTGAAATTAATAAAATGAAGTTCAAAATAAGAATCACTCTGTCCAGTTACAGAGTATAAGCAAAAGTATAGAACTGCCAGAGGTCCGACTTTTAAGGTTTCGTTGGAACGTAATCCTACTTTAAAAAAGTAATATCACGAGCCAGAGGGCGTCATTAAAAAGGTGAGTTTCGAACTCTATTCCAATCAAAGATCTTATAATTACAAGATCTTTGACTGGAATTTTAATAGGGCGCCCCCTATTGCGTAGTAGTACTTTTTCATTGTGTGCAAACAAAATCAGGGCAGTCGGACTCTCGTAATTTAATTCTACACTTTTTGATATACGCATATAAGCCGTCATTAATTATCATATCTCCATAATTTACCATACGTCTTCTCTAAGCTTCCTTGCATAACAATATATTATTCTGTATTTCAGTGACAACAGTTGTAACCACCACTGTACAGACAACATCAGAGCGTAATTGTTTTTAATTGTTTTTGTTCTTGATTATTTTTTATCTAAATGGTAGAGTTTGACACTTGTTGATTTGTGTAATTTAGTGGACAGTTTAAATGAAAGCTACAGGTCTATCACTGGCAACTTGTGTATGCTATAAATGTAGGCCTATGTTGATATATTGTGATTTTAGTTGTGTGCCTGTAGTGATACATATTTATTTTATATAAACTTAAACTCTCCGTAGCGTAATTTTTGACTTCATTATTTACCTTTTAAAATATTTTCTGAAGATAATTTTAAAACATCTTATTTCTTAGAATTTCCACATTAATTCAAAATATCCTTTGAGTATTTTCCAATAATGGCACCACAGCATTGAATATAATTACACTTGCAAAATATTATGCTCTTTTGTTGCATTTCCCATGTATTTTCGAAATGATTGACGTGATAATGAGTCGTTCTTGTATAATTATCTTCTCACAATATTCATATAATTCAATATTTTAGATTAAATTGGTGGTATGATGTGTGTAATTAACAAAATATCTGTGTTCGTTATTTTCACAACAAATATCGTACATACCAACATTACCTTGCTACTATGAAGATAATATTATTTACCTGTGTCATCTTATAATTCATAGCTTGCAACTGCAACTGTATTGGTAACTGTGATGGCAGTGACACGTGCGATCCACGTGCAGCATGTGGCGCTCATTGCAGTGCATCTTGTGAAGAGGGTTACACATGGAATGGAGAGCATTGTTTTAAGCCCCCTACTGGATGTTCTTGCTACCACAATGGCACAACTTATGAGGTATACTATACATAATTTTTTTCTGTTAAAAAAAAATTAATTTGGTTTATTGTTCTGCGTCGGTTATCGTGCCCCATGTGTTATAACCTACCACCACAACATTGATACAATTAAGCCAATATAGACTAAATTACAAGTATAAAATATACAAATATTGATTGATTTTGAGTGCAATGGGAAGATTATTAGTTGAAAGAGAAAATGTTACATCGAGGCAGAGTTTATGTCATACACTTTAAACAGATTCTTGTCATTACAAATGATAAGATTACAAGGAGATTGACACAAATAAAAAATAATTATTAAATGTTCTAAACCTAATGAAAAGTATCTATTTAGTTATACTATTGTATATTTTCGACTGTATAATCCACACATTTTTTCAGTCTGGGAATTGGACGTTCTATTAGCCATTAGATTACAGCTATGTCTTCGTAGCAAGGTGCGCCTTTAATATGAAAGGTCTCAGGTTCAATAATGCACGGGGATACCAGGGGCGGATTTGGGGGGGGGGCCCGGCCCGGCCCCGGCCCCCCTTTGGGAGGTAAAAAAAAGAAAAAAAAAAGAAAAAAAGAGAGAAAAAGAAAAAAATGATAGCCCAGAATGCCTCAAATGTTATGTTCGGGCGTCTAGAACACAAAATTTTCGCGGGGGAATGCCCCGGACTCCCTACGACAGTGTTGTCTCAATCGGCCCAACTTTCGGCCCCCTTTCCGCCCCCCCCCCCTTTTGGACATTTCTGGATCCGCCCCTGGATACAACACGTTTTTCGTGCTTATAAATATAAGCTTCTTAATAATACTTTTAATAGTTATAATTCATCTCGTATTAGATGTTTTGACATCCAGTATGGTTTTATTACTTGCTGTAAGTGTTTTAGTTAACACAAATAAACGTTTAGAAGTACTTATAGGCCACCGGCTGTAAATCAGAAAAGGCCTAGAAAATGGATTTCGTTTAGTTGACTATAGTAAATATTGTTAATTAAACATGTTTCCCATACTATACTAAAAGTCCTTCCATAAAATCTCAAGACGGTTTTCACAACGACCCCCATCAAAGTTAGCCCCTCCTACCAAAAACATAACTTTTTAGGGTGGCTACATTTGGGTAGACATATCTTCTCAAATTGCTAACCAAATGTCATCATAATTTTTATGTGGGTAGTCACACACAGAAAAAAAATTGAACCAACAAAAGTAATCCTACGTTAAATGAATTTAACTGAAAAAGTGTAATTTATTTGTGTACTTTTGACATTTTTGGTGTCTGTAGCCATTTTTGAATAGTAATATCTGCTTAATTACAGCAAAAATGTTAACTTGCATAAATAAACAGATATTGAAGGAGTGCAACTATAAATGTGTGATTTGTTCATTTTCAATTGCTAATATTGTTGTTCGGGGACCTTTTTCGAAGAGTAATGTTCTTGATTATTAACCATATGTAATAATATTTCTAGAGGTAGTTGTGTGGCTTGTGAACACATTATGTGCGATCAGTGGTGTAACGATTATGTGTCCTGTGCGGCAGCACGCAGGCCTCCTTTCCCACCTAAGGCCGCCGAAGGAGCTCCCCCATAGGGTTCATGATCATGATCCAAAATGAGAGCTCTGTTTATACACAACATAATGTGTCTCTGACCACTCTGTTGTGACATCGACTGTAGGACATCATATTTTATCTAGCGGTGGATTAAAGGGGTAACTGTCGTCCATTCCCCCACTTACTAAATTTGTCCAATTTTAGTGCCATTTCCGGCCATCATCCACAAAATGTGCCACATTAAAAAATGTTCTGGCCACCTCGGGCCCAACTATGGTGGGGAGTCAGAGGAAATCAACCAGTCATTTAATTTTGTGAAACTATCTTCTAATGTACTGTACCAGAATTTAGCTTAACAGCTAAAGGTGTTCAAGTTGTGTGTATAATGTGTACAGTGTGTGTAATGTACATTACACACACTGTTTCATTTACATTATACAGTGCAACAGCGAAAATATTTGCTTTAATAAATTAACACTATAAGCAATTCAGATATGGCATATTGGTTAAAATGATACAGATGCAAAATATAAATTTCTGATAAATATTCCTGTACATTAAACTTCCTTAATAATAGTCATATTTTTCCTTTAACAACTTTAAGAAAAAATACATTTTGTTACAAAATACTTGGTGAATGTACACATATAGTAGAGGTCATTGTTCTCTATTAGTTTTTAATTAGGCCATGTAAAATAAAATAATTATTTAGCATCCCCTCCCTACCATCAGAAAAGCCACCGACCCGATGTTTTATAACTTTTTTTACATAACACTCACAAACTCCATTTAATATAGGTTTGTTTACCACCCGTCCGCACGCTAGCATTACATTTCTATGCTCTATGTTGTTCACAATATACTGTAGCCACATGGCATCCATGATGCCTGTTGTGTTGGAGTGAATTGAGCGCAATTATATAGGTAAAGTTTCTTCTTCTTTGCTTTGCAGTTTTTTCCTTGCGACACCCTTTTTTTCATGTTCGATGTGAGAAAAAAAAAATCAAAAACCTCCCTCCCTACCATGAAAATTGATAACATAAGGATGCTAACCAATGTTTACTCTAAAATGAGTTTTGGCAGGTAGTACTATTTTCTAAAAGGAACCATTAAATAAAATTATTAAAAAGTAAATCAATTCCTATAAATAACTTAAAAATCATTAAAGCATATTTTACCTGATGAAATGAAAATCGCATAACTTCAAAATCATTATATATGTGATCATTGAAGTTTGTATTATTATATGTCTTCGTAGGAAGGGGCGGTATGGGAATATGGAAATTGCTACTCTTGTGTTTGCCGAGAATATAGGGCTGACTGTGAGCCTAGCTGTAACATCAGGTCATGTGATGAAGTAAGTGGTAATGAGACAATGTATAAGGGTTGCTTAATCTACCCTTCCCAAATTTGTGTTTGATTTCGGCAAAGACTACTGCAACAAAATATTGTGGAATAACACCATCAATATTCAGTACAATGTCGAGAATAAGTCGCTGTCACCCACAGAATGTGCTCCCAGAATAAATAAAAAAATAAACTAAACTTTAAACAGAAAAAATGAAATGCCGAAGCTTTATGTATGTGGGTCCGATGTGATAGAATAAATACAACTGAAATTAGATCTAAAGTATGTTTAAAAAAAGTTATATTATATTATATATTAAGTCATAGACGATTGATATTTAAAATATACATATGTTCAACTATTTATGTTCTATTAGGGATCTCATCTTGTGGAAGGACTTGAAAACACTTGCTGTTATTGCGAACCAATCAGTAAGTTATGTTTGTAATGATTATTTAAAATTAAAGCATGTTTGATCCTTTTATTTGAATATCTATGGATTCATATTAAAGAGTAATAATGTTTTAAACTTAAGAAATATTGTAATTTCGAAATTATGTTTTGGTTGAACAATTTTTAAAATTATTTTTCGATGTGATGAGGAATGTATAATTAGAATACTCAAATAATGGTAAAAACGGGGTTTCGGGCATAGCCTATTAACGAAAAATTTCTTTAAAACAATTGTTTAAAAAAACTGTTCTTGGCGAGGCATACCATTAAATGTTACATTTTGAAATCAATCAGATTCGCCACTACAATTACGTGTTAAGTTATTTTGTTTTCAAACAATATTAATTTCTTTTAAAACAGCTACCGTTGTAACAACAACTGTAACCACAACACAAATTACAACTCCACGTAAGTAATGTCGTGTTTATATTTCTGTCACATAACAGTTAAGGGTAGAATTTACCTCTCCTTGTCGTTGATTTATGTTGATATGTGGGAAAATGATGACTGTCCCCCTTGGTCATAGCGTCTTTTTAGGCTATTTGGAAAATGCATAAGTAGGACGAGTAGGGTGGTACCCCACTACTGGTTCTGATAGCTACCATGGTAGCTGGCGCCGGTTTACTGGGTTGCAGAGACGCGAAATAACACTTAAATATAATTTAACTCAACTATATATATTTAACGAGCTACTCGTGTCCACACATTGTAGCGCATTGGTATAATGCGTTATATTATGTTTAAATAAATGTACATTTACTTCTTTCAGATCCTTGTCTTGAGGGTATTGTGGAATTGTCGAGCAAAGTAGATCTGGAGTTTTCGAGTGTATTGGAATCACTACAACAAACACCTAACTTAGGTCATTTTGACAGCTTAGCATGGAGCCCTACTAGTATTGATGAGAGCCCGTTTTTTGATTATCATTTGAGCAGTACGGAAAATGTTATCACAGGCTTGAAAATCCGTGGTGACCTTAGCGGTGCACATGTAACTTCTCTTACAATTGGAGCTTACCATGATTTTGACCAATTATTTTTAAAGGTATAATTTTAAATTATGTTTGTGCGTGGGCCTGGATGATATGTTCATGAAATATATATATATATATATATATA